GCCAGTGCTGTTAGCTGAAGGGGGAGGGGGAGAGTCAGAGCTGGGAACAGAATGTCCACAAGCCCTTGAGGAATTGCAGACAGTCAAGAGGCCTCCCCACAGGGCACACATGGAGGGGGGTCCTAGAGGCAAGGCCGGTGGCAGCTCAGGCCCAGGCCAACAGGGCCTCCAGCACCAGGTGCAGGGCACAGTGCGTTGGCCTGTGGCATTCTGCTCTCCCTGCCTGGGCCTAGGAGCGCAACACCCAGGCCCCACGCGGACCAAATGCACACCTGCATGGCCGGCTGGAGCACAGGCGTCCGGGATGAGGGCTTCAGTGCTGCACGAGCAGCCAGGAAAGGGTCAAGCTGTTCTGGTCAGGAAGACAGAGGCTGCTGGGCCTCCAGCCCCCTTCCCCACCGCATTTCAAATCCAGAACATTCTCAGGGAAGTGGAATAAGTGGGGGCTTGCCACCCCACCCCCCTGCTGTGTCCCTCAACATGGGCTGTTAGGAGGATGAAAGGAGCAGATGACAGGCAGGGGCTGGGCAAGGCTGCTCCGAGAAGCAGTGGTATGACACCCTGCCCCCAGCCTGCCTACCCCGCTCCCAGGGACTGAGTCCTCGCTCAGTAAATACAAGTTCATTAATAGCTGGATTAATCACACCTCATATTTTCATGGTGCCTTTAAAAATAAAACATTCAAAAGCACTTTCACACCCACCCTGGGCCTCTGAGTTACGCGGGGAGGTCTTATCATCCCAGGCTGCAGGTGAGAAAGGGGGGCTCAGCAGTGGCATGTTGGGGTGTGGCGGGGCAGCCTGGCGTGCAGAGCCCTCTCCCTGCCCATGACTCTGCCTGTGGGCAGCTCTGCACCCCCTCGGGGTCTCCCTATAGAACAAGAGTAAAAGGGCCACTCGTAGGCAGATCTTCTGAAGTTCAAGGGAGAAGAAGGGGTGGTCATTCCGTCACTCAGCAAATACTCCATCAGTATCCAGGCCAGACCTGGGTTCCCACTCTGAGCGGAGGCAATGTGCAAGTAAACCCACCCTAGTCCTGAAGGGGTGTGTACCCTGGAGGGAGGCTTAGGGGACAGGGTGGGCACAAAGAGTGTAGGTCCAGGAAAGCCTCCTGGAGGAGGTGACACATTTGCCGAAACTTGAAGGCAGGTGGAGGTTCCCAGATGAATCACGTGAGGCAGGCCCACATGGTCCACTCCACTGGTCTCTTATTTCTCTCTTGGCCCCAGCCTCCCTACACACATGGATACACACACATACACACACAGACGTGGTCTTCCCAGGGCCAGCAACGGATCCCAGGATCCTGGCTAGGATCGTTGCTCCCACCCGGAATAGAGCAGCCAGAGCAGGGGCGCCAGTGCCCTCCTGAGACGGGTGGGGGCCAGCAGACCAGCCCTAGGGCTCACTAGAAGTGGGGTTCCCCCTTCAGGGCCTGAGCCATCCGCACAGCCCCGTCTGCAATTCCGGGTGACCAAGAGCCCATCAGGACCGCTAGTAAGTGAAGGAGATCTTCCATCTGAAACCCAGGGGGCCGCTGGGCCACGTCCGTGAGGGCGGGAAAGCCTTGGCCGGGTGTGGTGGCCGGAGCCTCCGGAGAGTGGGGTGGGCTTGGGAAGCGGCAGGGCCTGAAGAGCCAGCGGGCCCTGCACCTGCCCTCCTGCAGCCCTGGTGCATCCGCCCTGGCAGAGCATTTCTTCCACCTTTGTCACCCCAGGAGCAGCGACAGGCACCCCATCCAAGTCTCCAGTCACTAACGTGGGCCCAGGCATCCTTGAATCGGGTGGCAAGGACCAGGGGTGGACAGTGTGGGGGTGGGGATGGAGGCCTCAGCCACTCAGCGCTTCTCCTGTGGTGGGAGCTACTGCACCAGTGAGGACAGGCCCAGGCGCAGAGAGGCTAAACAGTATGTGTGGTTTCCTGGGAGAGTGAGGGGGGGACCCCTCTCTCCAGAGTAGTCACCATGGAGTTGGGCCCTGAGGAGAAGGGAGGAAGGTGCTGGCAGAGGAGGAAGGAAGGGCATGGCAGACAGAGGACCATGGGCAGAGACCTGGAGGAGGGAGGCATGCCTAGGAGGGATCAGAGGGTGTTTCTGCACAGGAGATTAGACTGAGCCAGGACTGAGGGCTCAGGGATACCAGCCAAAGGCCCTGGCACCATTCTGAAATGCCCGTGGAAGCCAAGCAGATGGCAGACATAGAAGCAAGGCCAGGGTGGGACAACAGAGAACGGCGGGGACTGAGGTGACCTGGAGCTTTTGCCTGTTGAAAGGACCACAGGTCACTTGGCAGTGAGCATGCACTGCTTTGTGTTGTCTCTGATAGACAAGCACAGGATTCCTGTCAAAGAGAAATGCTCACCCTAGTGGCCTGCGTGTGGAGGGGAGAGACCTCAGGGTCACACCGGGCCTTCGTTCCGACGAGAGGCCGAACCGGACAGTGAGGCGTCAGGCGGTTGCAGGAGCTGGCCACACGGGTGAAGGTCATAGCGGGCTCAGGGGCCAGAGGGGAAGGCAGTTCTGCCGCCCAGGCAGCTTCTGCAGCCCCTAGAGGACACCCAGTGGGGCCTGCATTTACCCCCACCCGTGGCGGGAGTGTCCTTGCTGGAGGGCACAGCTGTAACCTAGAAGGTGCCCCTTGGGTTCTACCCAATAAAAGTCCCCCCACCGGGGTGGGGAGGGGCGGTCACACCAGTGTGGCATGACGGAGGCCCTGGAGAAGTGAGCTATGTCCCTTATTGGTCACAGTACATTTATTTTTCATTAGCAGTTAAATGTAGACATGAGGGATTGTGCTGGGTTCAGCAGGCGGCTGACGTGAGCAGTGCTTGGCGCCGTGATCGATAGGGAGGCCGGAGGACCACGCACCCACTCCCTGCCCACACCCCCAGCCAGGACCCCTGCCCACCCAGCCCCTAGCCAGGAGACAGGCACAGGCCATCACGCTGAGTCTCCGCAAGGGGAGGTCCCAGGCAGGCCCTGCCACTGGGGGCTCCCACCCGTTCTAGAGCCTGTACCCCTGTCCCTGAGCCCCCTGCAGGCCCTGCTTGGGAGTCAAGTTGGCTGAGGTCCTGTGGCTTCCCCAGTAAACGTCCAGAGAGGCCACTGGGCCTCTCCCCACTCCAAGTCCCTATCAGAAGCTCACCATCCAATTCATTCTCTAGACCTTGCAGCCGGAGCCGGATGCAGCCCTACGCTGGCTGAGCCCACTGCCTGGGTCAGGGACTTGTAAGTGGCTGCTGAGTGACAGTGAAAAGCAGATGGAATAACAAAAGGGGCATGAGGCTGCTCCAAGGCATTTTTTGAGTCCAAGGCCGGAGCTGGGGTGTCTGGGGACTCCCCTCGGGCCTCAGAGTCCCCATTTGTAAGATATCTAAGTGACTTCTCCTCTCTGCCTGCATCTCCACCGCCCCCATCTGAGGGCAGGGCACCTGCCAGCTCCTGCCTCAGTTTCCTCATCAGCCCGCACCCTGAAGAGCTTGCTGTGAGGGTTCCTGAGCTGAGGGAGCTGAACTTGGCCATCATCAGCGCAAAACCCCTGTGTTGGCAGCAGCCAACACTTACTGAGCACGCGCCGCGTGCTTTTTTTTTTTTCATTTCACCCCCAGAACCTAAGAACTGGGTACTATCTCCCTGTCCTTCAGGCGAGGAAAGAGGCTAGAGGGTTGGGGGCTTCCCTGAAGTCACACCAGGTTTCCCAGCCTCCCGGCAGGCATTCCCAGCTCCCCTGCCTGGCCCAGGACGCCGATAGGACCAGGTGCAGATCCCTTCCCCCAGATCACAGTCTGGGAGGGAGGGGGCCAACTCCCACCTTAGAAAGAGAGGGTCCCTGTGCAGGCAGGAGAGAGGGCCACACGGATGCTCCCTGGAGGGTGGGCCCAGGCACTAGGCGGCAGGCCTCCCTGGTAGAAGCCCGCTGTGAGTTTGAGCTGCCTGTGGGAAGGGTAGTGGAGCCAGGAGGCCGACCTGGTGACGCTCCAGGCTCCACCACGGGCAGACGGGCCTCCATCGCACAGATGGCAAAACAGCAACTCACCCAAGGCCACCACAGCAGGGAGCAGAGTGGGGAGAGGCCCATGTGGACCGTGAGTGTGTGCTGGTGGGGACATCACTGCAGCCCTGGGGGGCCAGGCCAGCAGGGGTGTGTGGTGGGCAGCAATGTGTGGAGGCTGAGGGTGCCCTCACTGCCTCCTCCCACTCCCCCCAACCCCCACCCTCTCAGGGGTCCTGCTGGTTTAGCAGCCTGTCACACTGCTGTGGGGTTTACCTCTGCCAAAGCCTCAGAGCCAATTACCTGTGTAATTAGCAACAAATGACTTGTGGGATGGTTGTGGTTTTCAGTTAAAATTAGAAGGAAACCCATACCCAGGTCTCCTTGAAGGGTGGGATGTGGCCCAGGTCCCTCAGCTCCCAGACACACTCTCCTGGCTCCCATCCTGTCCCGGGCCACCCGCAGCCCAGGCCACTGCACCTGCCCTCCCCCCGGGCCTCTTCTGTAAGCTGTGCCACCTCCCCTCCTTCACCCACTTGGTATGTTCTGAGCACCTACTGTGTGAGGGGCAGGAATGGGGATCAACCCTGAAGCAACCGGAGGCAGCCAGGGCAGCAGAGGAAGGGACTCCTACCCTGCTGGGGTCCCCTCCCTCCCTCCAGCTCTCCCCTGGGTCCCCCCACCCCAGGGCAGGGGGTTGCCTCGCCAGATCCCAGAACTTCTACCCGGGTGGTAACAAGCCTGACTGCTGCCGCCCTTGTCTCATTCGCCTCCACTGTCTTTAGCTGGGGTGGGTGGGCTGCTCTTCCCCCACGTTACAGAGGGGACACTGAGGCGGGCGGGGGGGACATTTAGCATCTGGGCTGGTAGTGGCAACCTGCCTTATTCCTCCCTCAGCCCGGCAGCTGGCTTCCCATGGCCTGGCCCTGCCCCTGAATGGGCAGGGAACCCCCGGAGGACCCCGAAAGCCCAGCAGAGGCCTGGTTCACCTTCCGCCTTTGCCCTGCTGCAGGTGCCCAGCAGAATGCCACGGTGGCCAACCCGGTGCCCGGCGCCAACCCAGACCTGCTTCCCAACTTCCTGGTGGAGCCTGAGGACGTGTACATCGTCAAGAACAAGCCGGTGCTGCTGGTGTGCAAGGCCGTGCCCGCCACGCAGATCTTCTTCAAGTGCAACGGGGAGTGGGTGCGCCAGGTGGACCACGTGATTGAGCGCAGCACGGACGGGAGCAGCGGTGAGGCGGGCTGGGCGGCAGGCGGCCGCGGGAAGGGGAGGCCCCGCTGCAGCCTGCGAGCAGGAGGCCGGGATGTAAACGGGCTCCACCCTGAGGGCTCCCGCACATACACCAGCACCCGTCCTGGGAGTTCCCCACCAGACCTCACAGCTTGGAGGGGGAGTAACAGGGAAGACCCTGAAAATGCCCTGGGAGCCATGGAGGAGCAGGTCCCCACTGCTGTGTCAGCCAGGCCCTGCCTGGGTAGCTGTGCCAGCAAAGAAAGGGGGTTTGGAAGGGATGGATCCCAAATTATTGAAGAACTCAGGGACCTAACACTCAGTATTTAATGTTTGCATTCGTTCCTTTATCCATCCACTTACACATTCTCTGTGCTGGGTACACGGCCCCGCAGGGAGGTAGGTGGGCAGCATGGTGACCTCGCAGCGAGGCCTGGGGGCTGTGGCAGCCAGAGAGCAGGACGGAGGCTGCCTGGGGAGGTGACATGGAAAAGGAGGGGATAGCAACGGGTCAGGGAGAGGAAAGGGAAGGGTGTCCCAGGCAAGGGACACAGCACAACAAAGGCTTGGAGGCAGATGGGTGCAAGTCGGGGGTCAGCAGGAAAAGTGTGGGGGGCGCACAGGGGCAGTGATGTCATCCAGTAGCCTCACCTATTTGGCTCTGGCATGAGGTCACAGTTCCATGGGATTTCCAGCTGCCATTAACATGGACACTCGGGGGCCAGTGGGGGGGGAGGGGGGCTGGAGGGAGGGGCAGATCCAGAGATGCTGAGGAGAGAGAACCAGTGGACTTGGCTGAGCCTGGAGAGGGGGGTTCCAGGGCCGGAAGTGGACCGGAGAAGTGCCCCTCTGTAGGAGACCTCACGCCCCGCCTCCAGCCTGGCCTGAGGCTGCCGGTGGGCCCTGAGCGGCCAGCGGAGCTGACAACAGCCTCTCCTCCTCACTGACTTACCCAGTGAAGCTCCTCGCCTCTCCCTTTGCCCTGGTGCTTTGTGGAGCCCTCAGGTTGAGTCCTGAGCCCCTTCCCCAGAGGCCTCAGCCAGCTGAGACAGCACACTTTCCCTGTGGGGCATGGCCACCAGTGGGAGGTCAGAGTGGCAGTGCAGCTGGGACAGGGGGCTGTGCCCAGGGTGATTCACGCTGATGCCCAGCCAGGCAGGGGACCGCGGGCCCATAGAGGTGACCCCTGCTCCAGGCAGGAGCCTCTGGGTGACCCAGGAAGGATCCCAGAAAAGAGTACCATCCAAGTTCATCTTAGGACCAACCTGGAGCCAGCATTTCCCAGGCCAAGGACCAGAAGTGCTGGTGTGAGAATGGCAGGCCGGCGGTGGGGCCAGATTGGGGCGGGAGAAGTGGGCTGTGGCCAGACTCGCACTGTGGGAAGTTGGTGCCGGGCGGAGGCGGCCAGAGGAGGGCGATTCCTGCCCAGAGGACAGGAAGCTCTCACAATACTCTGCCCGGGTTTAGGCTGAGTGTGATCCCGTCCTCAGAACCAGCCTGTCGGATAGAGACGGGATGGAGGCCTTGGCTCTGACTCCTATAGGACCCCAAAAGGCTCTAACCAGGCATCCGGCCCACAGAACTCACACCCCATTCTCCCAGGGTCAGCAGGGGCTGGCCTTCCCTCCAAGCACCAGCACCCCCACCCCCAGCGATTCCTGCCCAGGCCTGTGAGCCGGCAGTGCCCTGGCCTGTGGCGCCTGGTGCTGGCAGCTTTCTTCCTTCGGTCCTCGGGTGTTAACTGTGCCTGCTCTGTGCCGGGCCTGGATTAGGTGCAGGAAGTGGGCCTCCATGGGAGGGGATGGAGAAGGGCGGTGATCTCTGTGGCCCAAGAGAGTCCCTGGCGCCATCAGCACCTCCCAGAGCCAGAGCCTCTGCTCACATTACCCTCCTGCCCACGTGGCAGCTTTGGGGCTCACATTGCCCCAGTGGGGGAGTCTGCCTTCCCCCGGGCGAGTCCCCTCCCTCCTGAGCCTCAGTTTCCTCCTCTGTAAATGGGGATGAGGAGGGCCCCTTGCACGTTGGAGGGGGAAGCCATGAGATCTCGTACACCCAGTCAGAGCCCAGCTCCAGGCCTTTCCTCCCCACCCCACGCCCAGGGCCTCTGCAGCTTTTTGCGTGAGTCCTCCCACTGCTGTGGCAGGTCCCCCGGGAAAAGGACAGGTGAGGGGAGGAAGCCACAGCCAGAGACCTGCCTGTCCTAGAACCCCTGGAAGGCCCCAGGCCAGCCCTGCTGCTCCCAGCCTCTCCCTCCTTGTCTCCTGCTATCACCAGGTCTGGAATCCATGGCTTAGCTGAGACCCAGGCCCAGCACACATGCTGAGGGCCCCCAGCCCACAGTCCCCAACAGACTCTGCTGGCCTTGCCCCTTTCAGCCAGCCAGAGCAGCAGAGCTCATGGGGACATGTCCCCCCCCACCCCCAGGACCCTCACCTGCCCTGAGCACCTGACCTCAGGTCTTCCATGGCCAGCACATCTGATTTTCATTGATCTTGTTGATTTCTCAACGCAGAGCCATTGAGTGCTTTGAAGCTCAGATAGGCTTCCCTTCCTTGCCCACAAGCACAGGCCATGGCACCATGCAGGCCCAGAGCAGAGCCTGACCCAGAACCTCCTGTGCTCAGGCAGGTGTGGCAGTGATCAGAGGTCAGCCCAGACCTGCAGCCACACCCATTCCTGTGTGGGACTGAGGGTGGCTGGGCGGGCACCCCGGGAGAGAGCGCCCTGTTCCCCCTCACTTGCCCCCATTCCCAATCAGAAGACCAGGGTTAGGGACCAAAGCCTGAAAACCCTCAACCCAAACCTGCTGATGCTGGAACAGCCTGAAATTTTTGAAGCCAAGCGTTGGAGTCCAGTCTGGGGGTGTAATTTATTGTTACATAAACTGATTGGTTATTAGGCACAGATTGGTGAGAACCTGAGCTCAAACTTGGCCTCAGAGTCCCCACCCTGCTAATCCTCTCCTTCCCATAAATACTCAGCCCACACTCCCCGGGCCTCCCCACGTGCCCCCTGCTCGCACCCCACACGCTCCTGGGCCCCGTCCCTCCCCAAGGCTGGCATCTGCTCACATTTACCAGGCAGGTGCAACAGCCATGCCCAGAAACCGCTCCCAGGGTCCAGGCTGCTCCGTGACCTGCAGGGAAACGGGCACAGCCCCTCGCCTCATGGGCTGACAGGGCAGAGTCTGATCTCCCCTGGGGCCCACCGCCCTCCTGGAGCTTGTGGGGTTGAAGGGCGCTGCCTGGAAGTGGGACATGGAGGATAAACTTGGCCCTCGTTTACGGCAGCAGGAAGGAGCCGAGGAGGTGGCAGGACAGGAGTGGGAGGAGGCGGGGAGAAAGAAATAGGCACGCTTAAATTTAGTGCTGTTCTCCCAGGCTGATTGCCGGGCGGGGCGTGAGCTCCCCCACCCCATACGGGATGGATGGCCCACCCATAGACCAGAGAGAAAAACTCCCCAGTTCAGAATGTTTTGGAGGTCTGCACCCCTGAGTATGTGCATGGCTTCCACTGAGGTGCTTCAAGACTCAGTGTGCTTGGCAGGCGGCTGGTGCCCAGGGCCCCCTGTACACAGACCCTGTGAGCCCCTCTGCTCTCAGCCCTCACCACACCCCCCAGAGAACCTCAGAGAATGACCTCAGGCAGAGGTGACACCGTCCCCCAATCTCCTGTGAGAACTAGCCAGAGGCAGGGGTGAGTGATAGGGACCGAGGCGGGAGCTGGGGGCTCGTGAGGAGGGTGTGGGCAGGGGTCAGGGGAGACACGGTTAGAGAAATTAAGAGAGAAAACAGCCTCCCTGCTCAGCTGGACTGCTGCCCCTCCTGCAATGCAGCCCTAATTGAATTTCTCTGTTAACAATGGAAACACATTGCTGCCCGGCCTCTCTCCCTCTTTCTGATAAGCCACTGACCCGAGGGAAATTGGGGTCAGAAGGAGGAGAAATTGGAAACAAACGGTCTTTTCTCACTACTGGGACATTGGTTCTGGCCCAGGGCCAGGAGGCTGCTGTCCCCTCTTCTGGGTCCTCAGAAGGTCTGGGCCCTCCTCGTACCCCCACTCCCTGGGTCCCAGTGTGGCCGAGGGCAGGGGCCTGCGTCCATTCTTGAGCGAGGTCCTCTAGCTCAGCTGGTGCAGAGCAGGTCCCGACACCCATCCCAGGCAGCCTGCCCCTGTGGGCCACCCCCTCACCCTTGCAGACACTTCTCCCTAATGGCCTGGGTCCTCCCAGCCCACCCAGGTGACTACAGGACACCCTCAACATGCTTTGGGTTCAGGTCGCCATGGGAGGAGGACCTACGGCAGTGATGGCGAACCTATGACACGCGTGTCAGAGGTGACACGTGAACTCATTTTTTTGGTTGATTTTTCTTTGTTAAATGGCATTTAAATATATAAAATAAATATCAAAAATATAAGTCTTTGTTTTACTATGGTTGCAGATATCAAAAAATTGCTATATGTGACACGGACCAGAGTTAAGTTAGGGTTTTTCAAAATGCTGACACGCCGAGCTCAAAAGGTTCGCCATCACTGACCTACGGCAAGCCCTCGTCCTGTGAGCATGTTCCGTCACCCATAGTGGGAGCAGTGCGGTCCAGGGCTCGGGCGGGGTGGATGGGGTGTGCAGAGACAACAGCCAGCATGTGGGAATTGCTTGCTAAGCCCAGGGGTCTATTATCACACTACGCAATGGGTGCAATTATCCTGTTAATAGCTGCTATTATGTTATCACATGTCAGGGTCCACCTGCTAACCCCCAGGGAGCTGAGCCAGATCCTTCCTCACCCTTTTACCCACAAAGCCCTCGGGCTGGCCAGTCTGCCACACCCCTTCTTCCTGGGGTCCTGGGAGGCCAGCCCCTGCTGCCAGAAGCCCTGTTAGGGGCATTTCTGTAAGTGACTCTGGAGACAGGCGCCTGGGTAACGGAGTACAAAGAATGGAAGGACTAAGAACCCACCCCTAGCTTCCAGGGCAGACCCACTGAGCTCCCGTGGGTCCCCCAGGGTGCCCTCCAGGTTGAGAGCTGCCCGGTGTCTGCTCTGGCCTGGAACAGGGAGGCTCAGTGTGGCCCGGGCCCTAGCAACCCACCCCTCCCGCCCCCAGGCCTGCCTGCCATGGAGGTCCGCATCAATGTCTCGAGGCAGCAGGTGGAGAAGGTGTTTGGGCTGGAGGAGTACTGGTGCCAGTGCGTGGCCTGGAGCTCCTCGGGCACCACCAAGAGCCAGAAGGCCTACATCCGAATAGCCTGTGAGTCCGGGGCCTGCCCTCAGGTGGGGGGTCCAAGGGTGTCACTGGGTGGGGGGGGAGGGTCCTGTCAGAAAGCCTGGGTCCTGCCTTGATGGGAGGAAGAGCCACCCATAGCCACTGGGCACTTGGCACCTCCTTCTGCCATGTGCCATGGCTCCTGTGGGACCGGGGAAGCGGGCCAGGCTGACGGGCACGAGGCGCCCAGCTGGAGGACACTCTTGTTCTTCCAGATTTGCGCAAGAACTTCGAGCAGGAGCCGCTGGCCAAGGAGGTGTCCCTGGAGCAGGGTATCGTGTTGCCCTGCCGCCCGCCGGAGGGCATCCCCCCGGCAGAGGTGAGGGGACTCCCAAGCTCGGGTCCTGCCTGCCCAGCCCCCAGGCTGACCCCCGGGGACTGCTCTCACCCGGGGCTGTGCAGAGGTGTGGCTCCTTCCCCAGGTGGAGTGGCTCCGGAATGAGGACCTGGTGGACCCGTCCCTGGACCCCAACGTGTACATCACCCGGGAGCACAGCCTGGTGGTGCGACAGGCACGCCTGGCCGACACGGCCAACTACACCTGCGTGGCCAAGAACATCGTCGCCCGCCGCCGCAGCGCCTCCGCCGCCGTCATCGTCTACGGTGGGCCCCGGCACTGGCGGGGGAGGGAGAGCTCGGAAGTCCTCGGGGTGGCACTGTGACTGGCTCCCCAGGGAGGCAGGGCCAGGCAGGCCAGGCTGTGGGCTGACTGGGAAGGGAAGGGCCTTTCTGGGCCTATCAGGGAGCCAGAGGGTGTGTCGGCGAAGGTGCGGGGTGGCTGGTCATCTGTAGCCACACCATCCCTGGCTGACTGTGGGCAGGGAGCATTGTGCAGGAGATGAGGGTTCAGAGGGAGACTAGGAAGTGACCTTGCGCGGGAAGTAGTGTTCTGGGCACCCCCAGGAGCAGGCAGAGGGAGCGGGTGCAGAAGTTGCCCCTCTGAAGGCTGGAGTCTGAGCTGGAGGGGCCTGGGAGCTACAAGTTTGGGCTGGCTGCCCTAGTGCCCACAGCACCTGCTGGTGGAAGGAAGGGGCAGTTGGCACAGTGTGGCCTGCCCTCCAGGGCTTCCCCTCCAGCCCCCTGCCCTGGTCCCTGGGCCAGCATGTCTGAGGAAGCCCCCGCTCCCTGACCCCAGTCCTTCTCTGTCCGGCCAGTGAACGGTGGGTGGTCGACGTGGACCGAGTGGTCCGTCTGCAGCGCCAGCTGTGGGCGCGGCTGGCAGAAACGGAGCCGGAGCTGCACCAACCCGGCGCCTCTCAACGGGGGCGCCTTCTGTGAGGGGCAGAATGTCCAGAAAACAGCCTGCGCCACCCTGTGCCCAGGTACCAGCAGCTGCCGCCTCCTGCATCGCTCCTCACCTCGCCATCTCCGTGCCCTGGCTCCATCACACCCGCCAGCCTGCCCCCCATGGCTCCATCCCACCCGCCCGCACGCAGGGCCAGGCTCAGTCCCAGGCCAGGATGGGGTTCAGTGCGATGGAGGCAGGGCTCGGTCCATGTCCGGCTCCGTCTTGGCAGAGGGTCTGAGCCCCAGAGTTTCAGGTACAGTCAGGACAGGGGCAGCCAGTGGGGCAAGGGCAGGGCTTAGCCTGGGTGCCCACACAGCCCCAGGGCCGCGGCAGCCCCCTGGTGTGGGTAGAGCCAAACAGGCAGGTGTCATTGCGCCTCCCATCATTAGCATGTGTCATCCAGGCCAGCTGGACACCAGAGGGTGTGCAGGGTGGGCCTCCCTGGCCCTGGCCTTGCACCCAGAGCCTGAGCTGGCTCCCCAGGCTGACAGCGTCATCTCCTCTCTCTGTGTCTGTCTCCCCTAGTGGACGGCAGCTGGAGCCCGTGGAGCAAGTGGTCGGCCTGTGGGCTTGACTGCACCCACTGGCGGAGCCGCGAGTGCTCTGACCCAGCACCCCGCAACGGAGGCGAGGAGTGCCAGGGTGCCGACCTGGACACCCGAAACTGCACCAGCGACCTCTGTGTGCACAGTGAGTCCTCTGCCCTGGGAGTCCTCTTGAGTTGGCCAGGACTGGCCCTGCCCAGCTCCAGGGAGGTGGTGGCTCAGGCATTTAGTCCCCTGCCACAGGCTGCACCCCCTCTCCAAAGCTCAGGACCCTGGGGGACCCCCATCATAAACACCCACCTGCGTGCCCCTGCACACCCCAATACACCCCTCGTCTCCCCCAAAACATGCATACTTTTGAGCTTTTACTGTGCACATGCCCCCCTCCCCCTCTCCTGAAGCGTCACCTCCTCCCTGTCCCCCAAGTGCACAGGCAAGTCCTGTGGGGACACCAGGCCTGTGAGGCCTGTTAATTACAAGGCCATAACTAACAATTAAAGATCTCTGTTGGATTTTTTCTCTAGAACACACCCTCCCCCATTCTTTCAATTAAAAACCTAATTATCTGTGTCAATTCCTTTCTGATGGACATTTCTTCCATTATGCAAAGCCCTTCTAAAATCAATACGGCTTCCTCTGGGCAGTCAATCACCCTCCCCAGCCGCACCCCCGGCCTGGAGAGGCAGGCGAGGAGAAGAGCCCTGGCAGGGACCAGGGACCAGGTGGGCAGACCCCCCAGGGAGCAGATCCCATGCTCTGGGGGTCCCAGGAGCTCCCCGCGGCTTCAGCTGCCTGGGCCCCAGAAGCGGGGGTGCAGTCTAGCAGCCCCATCCAAGGCCGTCTGGGGAAGTGTCTCTTCCCCGCCCTCCTGGGGATCAGCAGCCTCCGCCTGAATCGAGCCTGTGAGGATGTGATTGGCTCCGTGACACACGAGGTGGCGGCAGATGCAGGGCGGGGATGCACACATGCTGACTCCCTGCTCCCGCGCCAGCGTCCGCTGCCCAATAGTGCTGATGCCCAAGGAGTGGGAACCGCTGACCTCCCCCCCCGCCCCTGCAGCTGCTTCTGGGCCAGAGGACGTGGCACTCTACGTGGGCCTCGTGGCCGTGGCCGTGTGTCTCCTCCTGCTGCTGCTCGTCCTCATCCTCGTTTATTGCCGTAAGAAGGAGGGGCTGGACTCAGATGTGGCCGACTCCTCCATCCTCACCTCCGGCTTCCAGCCCGTCAGCATCAAGCCCAGCAAAGCAGGTGTGGTGCCTCTGCCCCCAGCTCCCGCCCTGGCCCCCATGCCAGGGGCCCCCGGGCCGGGCCGCCCTCAGTGCCACTCCCTGAGTCTGCCTTTATCCTGCAGACAATCCCCATCTGCTCACCATCCAGCCAGACCTCAGCACCACCACCACCACCTACCAGGGCAGCCTGTGTCCCCGGCAGGACGGGCCCAGCCCCAAGTTCCAGCTAACCAATGGGCACCTGCTCAGCCCGCTGAGTGGCGGCCGCCACACGCTGCACCACAGCTCGCCCACCTCTGAGGCCGAGGACTTTGTCTCCCGCCTGTCCACCCAGACCTACTTCCGCTCCCTGCCGCGAGGCATCAGCAACATGGCCTATGGGACTTTCAACTTCCTCGGGGGCCGGCTGATGATCCCTCATACAGGTGGGAAGGGCCCCAAAGTGTTCAGGGAGCTCTCAGAGGCAAGACTAGCATCTGTGTCCCTCCTATGCCACTCAGCCTCACCCCAAACACGGAGCTAGGCCAGCAAGGAAAGGAGGTCGAGTCTGCGAGACGACCCAGTTGTGGCTGACAGTGGGGCTGGCACTGAGGCCGCGGCCAGAGCTGTCTCCCTTCTGTGGCCTGGGGCACAGGACTTCTGTCCATTCATGTACATGTGCCGGCTCCAGGCGGGCCCTGGGCTCCCAGGTGGGACAGGTGAAGAAACAGCAAAAGACAAGCACCTAGACAGGGGCTCTTCCACCCACCACCTCGCACAACCCCTCTGCCGGGGTCTCGGACACCTCGATAAAAAATCCACAGACCGTCTCCATGGGCATCTTTCAAAGAAGCTGCGTACCTCTGGTGTGGCTGGCCACTGCCACCTGGCATTCTCTCTTCCCTTGGCTTAGAGGACCTCACATAGCCCTGGGTTTCTGGTCCCTTTTCAGCTGCTCCGGGTGCCTGTTCCCAAATGTAGGTGTTCATCAAAGCTCCCTCCTGGCTCCGTCTCCCACTCCATGGCTCTAATCGCCATGTCTGTGCAGATCACTCCCACTCCTAATCCCCAGCCACAGTTCTCCTGGGCGACAGAATCCTACACCCAGCTGCCTCCTGGGCAGCTCCATCTGGAAGTCTCACATTCCTTGTGCCCAAAACAGCACCGTCTCCCACCCTCCCCCACAGCCTCCTGCTTCCCGGCTTTCCCCGCCTCAGGGACAGCACAGTCGAGTCAGAAACTGGAGGTCACCTTGACCTCCTGCTCTTCTTCACTTGCCCCTCACCTCTACACCAGCTTCAGTCACACACCCATCCCATCATTCCTCCTCCTCAAATGTTCCTGCACCCCACTGCTCCTGGTCTTCCCGCTGCCTCTCCCGGCCCTGACCACCACGCCTGCCTGTCATAGGTCACAGCGCCAGGCATTCGCCCGGTGCAGCCACACTTCGTCATGTCCCTCTCCTTTCCGGCGCTTCCCAATGCCCCCTGCAAAGCCCACATGACAAGGCCACAGTGGCCCCTTCCCTGCTGGCCAACTGTGGTGGCCTCTTTCCTCCTGAGGAAGCTTCTGCACGTGGCAGCCACGGTGGGCTCCCAGCACCCCGCCACACACGATCCCTCTCCCCTCCCACCAGGTCTTGGCCTGGCAGCTCTCCCTCTCTGTGCTTCATGCCTCTGCCATAGGGATGGGGTGAGATGGTCCATGCCTGAGGAAGGGGCAGGCACACACGGGTGGTCAGTGACCATTGTGGGGTGTCTGCCCCCGCGCCCAGGACTCTTTACTGCCATCCATCTTGTTCTCCCCACGGGGCTGGGTGCTTCTTGAGAGCAGGGCCCGTGGTTTTGCCTCACCTCCCTGAGTGCCTGTCCTCGGCGTGAGCGTTCATTGACTGAAAAGCAGGTGTGTTCACACTCAGTCTCTAGGACTGTCACCAACCCCGGCAGCCGGTACCAGGAGGCAGCACGGGTTGAAGGGAGCAGTAGCTGTAAGCACTCCATCACTGGCTCCCCTCTCCTGGGCTTCAGTCCCTGGGAAGTGGTGACCATCCAGCCGGCCCAGCCAGTCGCCCACTCTGGAGAGCATGCCTGTGCCTTCAGACTTGGTGGGACAGAGTCATAGAATTGTTCTCCCTCTTCTAATGTAGAGGCTCCCTGTCCTAAAAGGGCAGGAAGGTGGGGCACGACCACCCCTCGCCATCCCCAGAGCAGCTTCCCAGCCCCTACTGCCTCCCCTGGAACCTCTCCTCCCTCGGCAGGCGCTTTCTGATGCTGCCCCTGCGAGACGCTGGGGCAGGGGTGACTCAGCCAGACAGCAGGACACATGCGCAGTGGCTCCCAGACCCAGGAGGGCTATCAAAGCGGCGAGGTTGTTCAAGGCCCCAGCCCCACCTATAGTGGGCCACTGCCCAAGTCATGCATGGTGGCAGAGAGCTGCCATCCCCAGAGGCGGCCAGGGCCCGTGGAGGTGGGGGGGTCGTGAGCAGGGGAGGAGGGCGGGGCACCCAGACCGAGGCAGCTCTAGGCGGTGGTTCCAGAACAGCGAGTAGGCAGCTCAGGCCAGGCTGGAGATGCTGTTGGGGCCAGAGGCGAAAGACCTTAAATTCCAGGCCAGGGAGCTAGACTCCATCTAGTAGGAGTAAGGGAAGGCTTTAAGCAGGGCAAGGGGAGGTAGGTCCAGCATCCCTGGCACCTTTTGTCTCGGTGTTTTCTGTGCCCAGCCTCACTGGGCATGCTTTGCCCACCCAAGTGTCTTTGCGCTCTCTTGGGGTCGCTGTGATTCGCTTCCTGCCTTGTGGATAGTTGGGCAGTCCCTGTGGCACCTCTGTCCCCAGGCCAGGCTAGCACCGATCCGTCCTCAAAGGGAGACTCACAGAGGGGCTGGCAGTGTTTGGTGTCTTTGCAGCCTGGTAAGCCCGGCCCTCCTCCCGCTCTATCACAGGGGTCAGCCTCCTCATCCCCCCAGATGCCATACCTCGCGGGAAGATCTACGAGATCTACCTCACGCTGCACAAGCCGGAGGACGTGAGGTGTGGGCTGGGGCCCTGCAGCTGAGGCTGGGTGGGCCCCCTGCCTGCAGTCACCAGGAAGCCACCTGCCCAACCACTGCTGGGCCTTGTGTGGTCTGGCCTGAGGGGGATCCGGGGAAGAGCTGCCCCTAAGCTCAACCCAGCTCTGCTCCTGACCCCAGGGGCCGCTGCCCTGCCCCGTCCTACCCAGTCCAGGGTGGTCCATTGATGCCTTTCCCTCCCCACCTGTACTTCCCCACTTGAGGTTGCCCCTAGCCGGCTGTCAGACCCTGCTGAGTCCCATCGTTAGCTGCGGGCCCCCCGGAGTGCTGCTCACCCGGCCTGTCATCCTGGCCATGGACCATTGCGGGGAGCCTAGCCCTGAGAGCTGGAGCCTGCGCCTCAAGAAGCAGTCCTGCGAGGGCAGCTGGGAGGTGAGCCCCACTGCCCACCCTAGGGAGCCAACACCGGCCTCCGAGTGGAGCCTGGCTTCCCACCTGGCCCTTGAGCCAGGTCCCTGTCCCCAGTCTCTGGCCCCTCAGAGCTGCACTTGGCCATGAGTTGACCCATGGGGCCCTACCCGCAGGACGTGCTGCACCTGGGTGAGGAGGCGCCCTCCCACCTCTACTACTGCCAGCTGGAGGCCGGCGCCTGCTACATCTTCACCGAGCAGCTGGGCCGCTTTGCCCTCGTTGGAGAGGCCCTCAGTGTGGCCGCTGCCAAGCGCCTCAAGCTGCTTCTGTTTGCCCCCGTGGCCTGCACCTCCCTAGAGTACAACATCCGAGTCTACTGCCTACAGGACACCCGAGATGCACTCAAGGTACTGCCCAGCCCCACCCTCTGTGCGCCTGGCCCTGAGGGCTGAGGTGCAGGGGGCTCTCCCAGCCCCCGGGCTCAGCTGACCACCTGTGGCCCTGCAGGAGGTGGTGCAGCTGGAGAAGCAGCTGGGAGGACAGCTGATCCAGGAACCTCGTGTCCTGCACTTGAAGGACAGTTACCATAACCTGCGCCTGTCTATCCACGACGTGCCCAGCTCCCTGTGGAAGAGCAAGCTCCTCGTCAGCTACCAGGTGAGGGCGCTCAAGGTGCCTGGAGCCGGGCCCACCAGCCACGGGCACCCCTGACGCTGCCCTTCTGCCCCCCCCCCCCCCCAGGAGATCCCCTTTTATCACATCTGGAATGGCACACAGCAGTACCTGCACTGCACCTTCACCTTGGAGCGTGTCAGCCCCAGCACCAGCGACCTGGCCTGCAAGGTGTGGGTGTGGCAGGTGGAGGGTGACGGGCAGAGCTTCAACATCAACTTCAACATCACCAAGGTGGGCAGGAAGGGCATCAGCACTGCCATAATGTGCGCCACACCCCAGGCCCGCCCTGACACCTCCTCCTCGAAACCAGAAGCCGCTTGGCCTCTTCCTCCGAGTCTCCAGGGAGAGGTGCAGGTGCAAGTAGACAGATGCAGTGGGACTGACTTGGAAGGGACTGAAGAGGATGTGGGAGCAGCAGGAAGGAGAGGTGGAGCGGCCTGGGCTTCCCTGAGGAGGACTCTGTCCTGGGCCTCAGAGGATCAGTAAGAGTTAGACAGGCAGCAGCGAGGGAAGGGCAGCGTTTCTGGCAGTGTCTGAGTTCAAGGACACAGGCGGTGAGAGGAACACGGTGAATCCCGAGTGTTCAGCAGAGGCTGAGCAGGGCGGGTAGGGTCAGGGCTGGTGGGGGAGGAGGGGAAGGAGGCCAGATAGCTCCTGTGCTCACTGGCTGTGTGACTCTGGCAGGTCATTAACCTGAGCCCCAGTGGGGGTGTCAGGTGGTGCTTTGCTCTAAGGTGGTTTGGGCGCTCCCCCAGGAGGTTGCCGTGGGCTTGGGCCAGGGCAAGTTCTAACAGTCATCTTCACCCATTTGCTGTCCCCCCTCCTCCCCAGGACACAAGATTCACGGAGCTGCTGGCTCTGGAGAGCGAAGGGGGGGTCCCAGCCCTAGTGGGCCCCAGTGCCTTCAAGATCCCCTTCCTCATTCGGCAGAAGATCATTACCAGCCTGGACCCACCCTGTAGCCGAGGTGCCGACTGGCGGACTCTGGCCCAGAAACTCCACCTGGACAGGTGCCTGGGAGATGGGCAGGGGGGATTGCAAAGGCCACCTGCAGTCCAGCCTGGCGGGGTAGGATGGGTGGGGTGGACAGGACAGTCTGTGGGGCCTGTGGCCCATCCATCAGCAGCCAGGGCATCCAGGATGGTTGACAGAGGGGTGGGCTGGGGGGCAGGAGGCAGTAGCCTGGGGTGAGGCCAGGCCACTAATGGGCTCCCTTCCTCCCCTTCTCTCCACAGCCATCTCAGCTTCTTTGCCTCCAAGCCCAGCCCCACAGCCATGATCCTCAACCTGTGGGAGGCAAGGCACTTCCCCAATGGCAACCTCAGCCAGCTGGCTGCAGCAGTGGCCGGACTGGGCCAGCCAGACGGCGGCCTCTTCACAGTGTCGGAGGCTGAATGCTGAGGCCAGCCAGGCCCCCACACCTACACTCTCACCAGCTTTGGGACCTTCCAGGGACAGGCAGAGCCGGACGGGGCCTCCTCACAGCGGGGAGCTGTGTGGACAGGCCCCTCCTGGTGAACGCTGTCTCTTCACACTGGCCCCTTCAGACCCTGCCCATGCTCCCGCCCCTTCAGGGCCTGCCAGGCCAGGCCGGCACTGCCACCTGCCCCCAGGGCCCAGGCTGGACAGTGCCAAAAGCCAGCCCAGGCCCAGCCCCTGTGTGTGTGTGTGTATGTGTGTGGTGCTACCTCTCCCCCCGCCCCTGGCCGGGGACCGCACACGCACAGCATGTGTGCACACACTGGGCTCGGGACGCACCCTGGAGCTCCTGCCTGAGCTGGACCTTATGCAAACATTTCTGTGCCTGCTGGGTAGGGGCACATCTGAGGGGCCCGGCTCCAAGCCTGTGGGACTGAGGGCCACAGCCGGATGGGGGGCGGCCCTGGATTCAGGCACACGACCCCTACACGGGCATGTGCCCACGCATGTCTCGTGTGTCATCTCACCGGCTTCCCCCTCCCCCGCACACACGTCATGCTGTACACCTGGAGGCCACTCACATCTCTCACGCCCGGTATCAGTCCACATCTGCCTCTCACATGCTGCCCTTCTCCCACCCACCCAGGGACACCCAAGGCTCCTCCCTGATCCTCCCCTCCCCCACCAAGAGGAGCCCTGCCCGACGGGGCGTGTGAATATGCAACGGGAGTCCTGGGCTGGACAATGGCGAGTGTGCGTGCCGTGGCGTGCCCGCTCCTGGGGCCTGTCGTGTGAAGCTCGTGCCCTGACTCTGTCTTAAGTGCATTCACGCACTTACACTTGGCCTTATGTACACAGCCTTGCCCGGCCGCCGGGGCGCGTAGGGATTTTAGCGGACGTGAATGTAAATAAATTATATATATATTGCTAACCCAAGTGCTGCTTCTCTCGGGGAAGCCAGAACTTGAGGTCAGTGGCCACAGAGGGGTCACACATGGGCTGTTCTGGGAGTCCTGGGTGGCTGAGCCTGGCTGGGGCACAGGTGGGGCCCCAGGCCTGGTCCAGCACAGCTGGTTCCTGGAGACTTCTTCAGACATGGGCCTGCTTGGCCAGGCGACAGGCAACGGCAGTGACCAGGGCTGCACCTTTGCCCGACCCATCCTCCGACTGCAGGAAGGTGACTGCACAGCAAGGGGCCAGCTCCTGCACAGTGGCCGCCACCAGGCGAGAGAAGCTGTGAGGGGAGGGGCTGAGGTGAGCCCAGGCCAGCCAGGCCCTACCCAGGCATGCCTCCCACCCGGCCTGGCATCCAGACTCACTGGGGGTGCAGCTTGTAAAGGGTCCCATCCACTCCCACGGACACAGTCAGCTCTTCCAGGCCCCGGTTCTCACGGATCTTCTCCACCACGGCAGCCACACCTGCCCCACAGAGCTGGGCTGCCCGCTGGGACACAGCCTGGCACACCTCCAGGACCATCAGGGTATCATCCGAGGTCAGGGGCAGCCCCAGATCCTCAAGGATGGCTCGGACCTGCCTCAGGGCCAGGCTGTCACTGGGGACAGGAAGGAATAGAACACAGAGGTAGGGTCTGTCATTAGCTCCCCTCTCGTGGCTTCTGTCCTCCTGGGTGGACCTCCCTCCAACCAGCCTTCCACCCAAAGTGAACAGAAAGACCCCTTTGGGAGGTGGGAGGCGGTAATGCACGGCTCGGCACCTTTCAATCTCAGACAGAAACTTGGTCTTGAAAATGTCCCTGGTCTGAAGGCTCTGGGTCTGCTGACCCCGGAAGAGAACTCCAAGGCTGGTCAAATGCAAGAGGATGTGGCGGACGATCTCCCCCAGGTACATGCCACTGATCATCTTCTCAAACCTGCATGGAAGTGTGTGTGCCCACAGGGTAGGAGACCCATCCACTACCATCACCGGCGGAAGCCACCACCAGCCACCCCTGCCCGGCCCAGCCCACACCTCTGTTTGCCAGGGTTGATGGATGCCTGGTCCACACTTGCATCGAAGCAGGTGCTGAGCGTGTCCAGAGAGCCGTCATCCCCAAAGGCGCCCCACTCCATGTTGATGCACATGTGGCCTAGGTCCCCAGCCACTCCTGCCACGTTCCGGAGCTCCTCCATGTAGCAGGCATTGGTGCCGGTTCCTGCAGGAAGGCCAGGCGGAGTGGGAGCCATTTACTAAATCAGACAGGACCCCCTCTGAACCCTTCCTGCACTGAGACAGCAAAATGTGGGCTCATTTTTTACATCTCCATCTCCCCACACTCATGCCCTGCCCCCGGTCCTGGTCTTCTTTCCTTCCTGACATTCTTGTGCAGCCCCTGCCAGCACCAAGCCCCTGGGCCTCCACTGCTTCCCCTACCAGCTCCACCATCGGTGCATTTCCCATGCTTCCCCCGGGCACTCCTAGAAATGCCACCAGCCATGCCATTCCCCTGGGAGATGTGTGACAGCCCTCCACTGTCTGCAGGTGAGACGCCTAAGCTCCCTGAACTGGTCTTCAGTTCTTTAGTCAAACTAGCAGGTGCTGGGCCAAGAGCCAAGGACAGAGACAGGAGTCAGACCAGAGGAGCCCCGCGGTGGCCAGAGGTGGGGCAATGAGCAGACAACTCAGAGACTGCCCGTATGTGCCTAAATGAAGGTGCAAAGAAGAGCATCCTGGGAGTGCCGATGAATCATCCTGCCTAGAGGGTCAGGAAAAGCTACAGAGAGGAAGTAAGTTGGGGTTTAGCCTTGAAGCCAAGAAGCACAGAAAGGAACGGCATTCCAGGCAGAGGGCAAAGGCATCCCTTTCCTATCCCAACACCCGGTCAGCTCTAGGCAGGTGGACTCCTTGCAACCCCACCTTGACTTCCTCCATCCAGTGGTTTGTTCCCATGGCAATTTGGGCACACCCCTCCGAGCGCCTGCCCATGCCAGGCTCTATGTTCAAGAAGCTCCCGGTCCCACGAGTGGCTATCACCCACCCTGTGCTCTGAGAGATGGATGCCTGAGGACCTGTGGGAGCCCTCCTTCCCTGCCCAGCCAGATCCCTTCTTTCAAGGCTTTCTTTGCAAGTCCCACTCATCGTGGGACCCCTTCCTTTCTGAGCTCAGCCTGTCACCCTGGCACAGAGTCAGGTTCAGCTCTCTCTGACTGCCATGTGCTATTCTAGGCTCAAGCCCTGCTAAATGGTCAGTTCTGAAAAGGCAGGTGTCTTCTCCCTTTATGTATCTTCCTGTCCCTTCATCCATCCCTCAGCTGGCCACAGGATAGGTGCTTAATAAAGACTTAGAATCTTGGATGACCTAAAGGACCCTCATAGCTCATTCTCTGTCAATCCCTGGCACCCTCCCCCCAAGCCCCTCCACCCCAGCTCCAAGCACTGAGTGTCCCATGAATTAGCATCAAGCAGTAGGGACACAAAAGAGCAGGGCCCTCCTCACCAACAATAAGGCCGACCTCACAACGGGGGTCCTCATAGCCACAGGACATCATGGTTCCCACTGTGTCATTGACAATGGCAACGACAGTCAGCTTCATTGCCTGCACACAAAAGGATGAGGCTAGTTGCTGGGCAACATGGTCGTCACGGCAACTGGTGCTGGACCCAGAGGTCTCTACTGCAGAGGGTCCCCCTCTTAGGAAGCGAGAGACCCTTTGCTCGCCTCAAGGCCTGCCACAGTCCCAAAGCACCCCTGGAGGCAGACTCCCTACCTGTCTGCGCTCAAGGGCTTCCCGCAGCAGACGCACGACATCTTGGCCCTCACAGTCTGATGCATTGAAACCCTTCGTCCAGTTCAGGAGGATGCCCTGGGGTGGGACCAAGGCAGGGGACCCCTTGGAATCTCACTTGGCCTCCCCAAAGCCTGCATCTCCTCCAGCATACCATGTTCCCCCAGGTCCACTCTGCCCATACAGCAGAGGGCCTTGCCCTCTACCCCCTGCCAAGTCCTCAGAAGCCTTCCAGTGTGAAGAAACCTATTAATAAACGTTCAACCTATGTTAGTACCAGAATGCTCAGATGCTCTCAGGGTTTGGCCATTTTAAGACGTTTGCCCAGAAGGAATGGCCCTTCGTGATTGGGTGAGGAAGGGATGGAGCTTGTCAAATGAGTGCTGTGTGTGAGAAAGGGGAGGCTCGGGGTCCACATGGCAGCAGATTCTGCTCTTCTGAAAAGAACTAGCCAGAGTCGCTTGAGAGAAGGAATTCTTGGAGCTGGGACAGAGCTGTGTCATTGGGAGATTCACACGTGTGTGCCAGATGTAAGTGAAGGACGAATAGAAAAGCCAGAAGCCAGACATGTGGGCAGGATGGAAGGGGACAAGACAGCTAAGCCTTTACTGTGAGAAATTGGCCTTAAATTGTGAACTTAGTGACGGGGACTTGGCTGTGCTTTTCTTGGTGTGTTTCTCTAAGTGCGGGGGGCGGGGGGGGGGGCGGGGAAATGACTGCTCTGCCCACGGGGAAGCGTGGAGAGCAGATCTGAAAATCTTTAGGGCAGGAGATTAGGAATACTAACCAACATTTCCCCCAGTAATATTGTCGTATCACTTTCCCTATATGACTACATCTAGGGTGTTCTGTGCTCATTGTCCCCAAACCAGAAACCAACAAAAGTGAATGAGAGGGAGGCCAGTTTGTGGGAGACCAGATCATGAGAATGAGCAAAGCTTCCCTGCTCCCAGACAAGACAAAGAACCCCTGGCCTGAGAAGGGGAGGTGGGGCCGGCAGAGCCAGGGTTCGGATGGCTTCCTGAGAGAGGTGCTCTGTGCCCTCCATGCTGGGCCCACCCTTGGGTGGGAGGGAAGGAGACACAGGATTTGGGTGGTCTCAGAGGAGAAGAGGCCTCTGCCCTCCTTCCCCAGGGAGGTGTGAGGACCCAAGAGAGGAAGTAGTAGCCCCCTACTACTTCCCAGTGGGGGCCTGGTGTCTCCCCAGGAGTTTCCCTTTTGTGTCTGCACATTCATTACAGCGAAGGACGATCACTGTGCAGCCGAGAGGGGCCCCTAGGGGGGAGGGGGTCTCCAAATTGATCAACATTAAGTTTTCACCCTCCAAAGATTGTGGGTTCAACACAGACATTTAGTTCAGTGATAGATCAATAGGATCATGTTTCCTGCATGCCTGCTTTTGCATCTTGAGTCCCACCTGCTTCTCACACTTTATAAGAAATAATCAAAAGGCGCCAGCCGCTCAGCCCGGAGCGAGAGGACCAGCCGAGAGATGCAGTGGCCGTGCGGGTGGGGGAAGGCAGAGTACGGAGGCACGCATCTGGGAGGGCAGGGCTGGAGTAGAGGGCGACAGCCACACAAGGGCTGGTTGGAGCCGAGGAGGCAGAGCGGCTCAGAGACGCAGGTAGGGCAGGATGCAGTGGGCACCTTCGGGGACAGTGTACCCCTCATCATAGCAATTTTTCGCACAAGTTGGGATGTTGAGGAGGGGACTCCTGAGAACCTGGACTAGAGGTCCAGGAGGAGCTGTTTGCATGACAGGCCTCAGTGTGTGCACGAAAAGTCTAGCGTTCTTGTTGAAGGGTGCGCGGAGGTGTGTGCTGAGAGCCTGCTGCTCTGCCACCCCAGTTAGGCACCCACCCCAGCCAGGCACTGAGAGGGACGCTGGCAAGGCCGGGAAGGGGAGAGAGGGCAAAGGACCCGTGTGAGCACAGCCTTTCGAGCGCCTGGAGCCAACGCTGCTCCCTGCAGGCCCTGGGCCAGACACCAGTGTGTGGTCAGCCTGGACCTGGGCCTGCACTACTCCCAAGTGCCCACGCCTACCCCTGGCTCCACTCTCCTGCTTATTGGCAGCCCCCAGGGATACCTGTGTCCTTCTTTATCCCAGGCCACTTTACCACTTCCACCCATTTGGGCACACTACATTAGGGAAACTGAGGCCGAGTGGAGGCTTAGCCCAGTGGTGCCTCTGC